AGGGGACATGCGGTAGCATAGTTGGTTGAGGCACTATGCTACAAGCCGGATGGTTGCGGGTTCGATTCCAGATGAGGTCATTAGATTTTTCAATTTAACTAATCCCTCCAGCCGCAGTATGACCCTGACCCAGCCTCTAACAGAAATAAGTATCAGGAATCTTCCTCGTGGTAAAGGCCGGCCGACGCGTAAGGCTGACCTCACCGCCTTCTGTAAGCCGATTTTGTAAAAAATGTGGGAGCCTCTGCGATTGGTTACAGGGATAGCTTTACCTTTTTTTTTCTACCTTTACGCAGTCTGCTTGTGAGACGGTGACTAAGAAGTGATCAATGACGTACAAGCTGGGGGCCGCAGTACAACGTTACGGTGATGATGATGATGATGATGATGATGATGATATCCCGGAACACCTTGATCTTGAACCTCTCCTGACTTCGTGGGCTTATGAAAATTGTACAGGCTGTTGAATCTGCTTGTGACCTTCATACGGCCTCGTGTATTATGCGTTTTACCTGAGTGCCCTGCTGATTCTGGCTCTGATAAGAAACCAAGTCGTTCCTCTGAAGTCAATAGTTGCTTAGCTCTGTGCCCAGGCTTTACGAATGGCGTGTCATGACTCGTGAAAAAGAAACTTGAAGGAATTACACCCGAAGGCCGCGCCATAGCTCAAGCGGTTAATCGCTGGCTTCCCACCGTGGCGGCCCGGGTTCGATCCCGGGTCTGTTCAAGTGGGATTTGTGGGGGACAAAGTGGCGCTGGGGCAGGTTTTCTCCGAGTATTTCGGTTTCCCCTGCCAATCTTCATTCCACCAATTGCTCAACAATCACCCACACCTATCGTTTGGGGCTGGTACAATAGGCCAGAAGTGGCCGCAGTACAAGGAACTTAGTCCCACCCTACTAGCAAGAAAAAATTAAAAAAAAACTACATCCGAAAATTATATAAACCCTTGAAACCTGAATAATGATAAGAAGAGAAGAGAAAGCAACAGGAGTAGTGAAATACATTACGTTTTGATGGGAACAGAAACATTTTCCTGCTTTGAAGGTTCCCATGCAGTGCTCGCTCGTCTTTCCTGTACATTTGGGTGAGGGTAAAGCTCTAGGAAGTGAAGAAGGTAAAGGGCTGGGAAGTGGACTTTGTTGTGTGCAGAGGAAAGGAGTTTGGCAGGTGGTTTTACTGCGTTTAATCTGAGTTTTAATACGTATTCATCTAAATTATATTTAAAAATCCAGTTCATACCTTAGAGGACATGCGTTGCGTCTCCATTAATACAACAGATCTGTTATTGTTTGTTAGGGAAATATGGATGTTTATTCGGAGAATCACATGAAACCCATAAAAAAGTTGTGGTAGAAAGCTAGAGCTGGTGTTACATTTAATAGCAACTGTGCTTTGAAGGGTGTTAACGACAGACACAATTATGATTGTGCAAAGATATGGTTTATTATTCGAGGATTGTAATAAACTTGATTCTCAAAAAGTATGTGAGCTATTCATTCATTGTAAAAATATTACGTTGGGAAGAGCCCATTGTCTGGGATGTAAGCATATTTGATATACATTACGTTTCGTAAATTTGTTTTATTTGCGATGTGAAAGAAAACATACTCTGTCGGATCCACCGGTAGAGCTGCACCGTATGGTTTGAGAATCGCTCTCCGTCGGAGGCCAGTAGATTGCGTCTTCTTTCTTACCTTACACGTACCTGAGTCTGCAAGGAGTTTCAGTTCCGGAAACGCTGTCTAGGGCCTTAGGAGTGATATCCTAGACCAGTGATTTACAAATTTTTGAGACCGCAAACCTACAAATAAAACTTAAAATGCAATGTAGGAATTTACAAAAAAAAACACTAATTATATATATGAAGTACTTTTTCTATTAAAATATATTCCTGTAAATTAAAGTGTTGTTTTTTGTCAATTTATGTTATTATAATTATTTCAGTAGCATTTTCAGAGGTCCCTTGTAGAAAACATCACTGACTTCTTGGGGTGGGGGAGTTGTGGCCCCACTTTGGGCAGCACTGCCCAAAACAATAAACAATATCCAGTATAAAAGGTAAAAGTAAGATGTAAAATTGTCTCTGTTCTTAATTAATTAATTAAGCACTACGCCATGAAGAGTAGTCGGGGAGTGGAGGTATAGCTCCAACATTCTTGATCTCGACACCAGTTGGAGACGAGTAGTCAGCTTCACGTCCTGACCACCTTACCCCGGGGAAAGAGGTCCCGTCACCGATGGATAGGAGATTTGGTGGCCCCCAGAGTCCGTCTGGACGACGTGGAGAAGAAATAATTTCCCTGCCAGAAAGCGAACCCCAAGTTTTCAGCCCGTCGATAAACTGACTGAGCTATCTGGGCTCCTATATCCAATATAATATTCTTTAACAAACTTTAAAGCCTGTGTCTGTTGCAGGGATTCTTAACTGGTTGGTTGTCTGGAAGCTAATTAATGCAGATTCAGAAGGAAATGTGAGTGACAAGTTATTTTTTCTAAACTCTGGGTCTAGGGAACAATTTAAACGTTCGAGTGGATCGGCGGTGCATAACACAGTCGATTGTTGTCTGAGGCGCGTTGGAGGAGACTAACGTTACGCCAATTTCCATGGTGACAGAATTGCAGCCATCTTTTATTTTCGTGAATCGGTTTGACCACGAACCGGTCCTTACCTATTCAGGCCTTCATGGCGTGATTTTCTTCGCCTGGATAATTTTACCTCAGTGCCACCAGACTATAAAACCTGCTTCTGAAAACAAGATGAGAGACTGGACGTTGTTTCCTCACAATACTGGTGACCTCATTCGAACTGAGGAGCGCCATAGTGTAGTGACAGGCTACGGACTGGAAGGCTGGGGTTAGATTCCCGGCAGGTGAAAAAAGAATTCTCTTCTATGCAGCGCCCACACCGGCTATGAGGCCCAACCAGCCAATGGGTACCGGGAACTCTTTCTCCGAGGTTAAAGCGACCTGTGCGTGAAGCTGACCACGCACCCCCATCTAATGCCGTAGTCAAGAATGGTGGAGCTATACTTCCACTCTCCCACACGTCGTCATGGCGTATGCGATCTTCCTGTCTGTGTATGCAATTGTGTTAACTTTTGAATGCCTGAACCAATCTTTATGAAACTTGGTATGTAAATCACGGTACCTGAGCCCATCTCAGCGGCGTCTGTGTGCCTGTATCTGTATGCTGCTGGTCGAGGGCTCGGTATAAACGTAACCGCAGCAACATCATAACGCGCAACATACACGTAGACCCTGATGACCGGAGCAGAGATGGTCCCTGAAATATCCATCATGTAAAACGAATCAACATGGCTGATTGCCCGTGATTTTATCATCCAGAGTAAGTAATACCAAAAGAAAAGGAAATGTGTGTTACTTAGTTGAATTTAGGCACAGAATTTCATAAGCTACTGCAATTTTACGTCGCGGTGACGGTATAAAGGTTTTCATATTCTTACACACTCATGGACCTGAACCCTTCTTGAGAAGCCGCCAATTGTGCAGCTACTCATGAACTTCTTAGCATTTTATGGAACCCGAAGTTTCAGTACCGTGTTCAAAAGAGCCCTCCACTAGTCACTACCGGAGCCAGGTCAATCCAGTCGATACCATCCCATCCTATCTCTCTAACATCCATTTTAATATTGTCAACCCACTTACTCCTTAGTCTTCCCAGTGCCGCGCCATAGCTCAAGCGAATCACCCCATGCAAGAAATTCATCTGCTAAACAAACGTCACTGCTGCACTTTTTAGAATAAACAGTTTGAAAATGTTAATTCGTAATTACGGGGGGCATTCTGTAGCTTAGTTGGTTGAGGCACTGTGGTACAAGCCGGAAGGTCGTGGGTTCGATTCTCGATGAGGTCATTTGATTTATCAGTTGACCTAATCCTTCCAGCCACACTACGCCTGGTCGACACAGCCTCTAACGGAAACAGACTAACACGAATGTTCCTTGGGGTAAAGGGCGGCCGGAGCGTAAGGCTGACAACGTTACTGCCATCTTTGAGCCGACTGTCTAGAAGATGTGGGAGCCCCGACGTCTCACAATCCTTTTGGCCTCCACAGCCTGTTACAGATTATTATTATTATTATTATTATTATTNGCTCGAACTCAGCCCGTCCCGGTGGGAAGCCGGGGACTAACCGCTTGAGCTGTTGCGCGGCCTTGGTGTAAGGATAGTTTTACGTTTTTTTTTAAATTTATAATTACACTTATCAATTTTTCGTCTATAATAATTTTTTTTTTCATTTGTTATGAGCGTAATAGTACAGTACGTTTTAGTAGCGTTATACTAGTGTTTTTTCGTGGGTTACACCAATTATCCGAATCATCTTTGTCGCTAATTAATTTTGATAATCGGCGTTCTACTGCAGTGGACATGATGGACATAGGCCTATTAATATTTTTCCCTGTGTTAAGATCTAAATTAGGATTACATTATTTTGGTACCCCCAGCCACAAGAGAAGTTCCAGAGTTGGGCAGGAGTGGTGGTATAAAGGTTACGCCCCCTTCTACCAACAAGTGGACTACCTGCTATAGATATGACGTGTTCGACACGGTCCGTCTGCCGACGGATTTGTTAAGCGTGTGTGACGAGGAACACATGTGGACATACACTATGCAACATTAAATCAGAATCGATAGTCCCTTTCGACGTATTGATCGTGATATTGACAACAGTGAGGTTAATTAGTTTTGTCAAGGACTGTACGGTTGCTATTATGTAGGAGCGTAGCTTCCTGCTTGGTTGCGGCCGCGGGGGGTACGGAATGGTGACGGCTGAGGGGAAAGAGGAGAGACGGATATCCGTGAAAAGGCGGGATGAGGAGAAGAGTGAGAGAGATGTGGAGGGGATGGGAATAAAAAGTCTTGATGGAGGCGGTAGTGGGGCGACAAAATGGAGGGGTAGCTGCCGCTTCAGTTGTAGGAGATAACTATACTAGCGCCGCGTATTAGCAAGGTGCAACCTGGTAGCGGCAGATTTGTGAACTATCGGTAACTTTGTGCAGTCTCAGCTGTTTGTGTTATCACACAACAGTTTCTCGGCACATTCGCACCGAAAGTTCGGTAGATGCGAGGTGCAGGAAGGGGTACATTGAGGTTTTGTGGTGGTGTACGAGTGCATGTGTGTTCGTGTGAATGTGTTGCAAGACGACTCTCGCTTGTTTCACTTTTATTTCTGCTGTTTCGACAGTTTTGCACACGCTGTTTTGTCTGTCGCTATGGTGACTGCATGCCATTATTACGCGGGTAGTGATACTGAGGGCTAAGGTGAGGAGTCGTGTCAGATATCCTTGCATGACATACGAGAATACTGAAGTGTGGTGAGTCATGAATTATTGAATAGCAAGCATTGCCTGCTGTTGGATTTTCTATTTCGCCGAACTTGTTACTGTTTAATCTACGACAGTGTTATTTGTGCATACAGTGTGTTAACCAATGAAGTGGTTGGTGATACTGGAGAACAAACCCTTGAAAATAAACTTTTGTATACTGCTTGAAACTTTATACGTGATTTTTACCTGGTGACTGGTGGCGATATTTACGCATTTAAACGTAAAAATACTCCAGGGATAATTTCTTGTGTCCGAGAAGAGCACGGCTGAATTGGATAAACCGTTCTCCTGAAGGTAAGTACTGTACATGTGTGAATGTCTCGGAATAATCCTGATTAACTTATTCTTGACACTAGATGTGACTGGTACAGATTATCTCACTTTTCTGAAACTTGCAGTTGTTATCATTACCGGACATCTGTCCAGAATTGAAGATGATTAATTGGAATATAGGGCAGTATGGCCCTATAAACTGCTGTAGTTTTAATTGACTGTTTAAAAATTGCTAAAACTTCACTGGAAATCAGGGCAATATGGCTCCAAAACTTTCCAGTTTTGGCTAACAGTTTTTAAGTGACTGAAACTTTACTGGAATGCGGGGTAATATGAGTCCGAACCAGTTTTAGTTTTACTTTGATTTTTTAAAAATGACTAAAACTTCCCTGGAGTGCAGGGCTATATGGCTCCTAAACTTCCAGTTTTGGTTTAGTGTTTATGTTTAAAAATGACTGAAACTTTACTGGAATGCTGGGTAATATGGTACCAGAACTGTTGTCGATTTATTTACCAGTTTAAAAGTGATCAGAACTTCACTGGAAGGCAGAGCAGTATAGCTGTAAAACTCATTTAGTTCTAATTAAGCATTGAAATGTGATCGAAAATTTTGCTGAAAAGCAGGGCATTATGACTGGAAAACTGAATTTAAATTTGAATGTGACTGAAACTGCAGTGGAATGGAGGGCAGTGTGGTACCAATATGTTTTAGTTTAATGTTTAGTCCAGGAAAATATGTTTTAATTTAACACGTTACATTAATTAAATGTTGCTGAAATTATTTGGCTATTTAATTAAATATAAGTGTGAAGATTACACTCTTCTGGGTTGTAGCGCCGTGCAGCAACTTGCTGCTTTCTGCCGTCTCTTAACATGGCTCACTTTCAGAGCCTGAATATGGAGGCGACGACACGCGGGGAACTACTATTTTATTGCTAGTGGGGTGGGACTAAGTCCCTTGTACTGCGGCCACTTCTGGCCTATTGTACCAGCCTCAGATGACAGGTGAGGGTGATTGTGGAGCAATTGGTGGAATGAAGATTGGCAGGGGAAACCGAAGTACTCGGAGAAAGCCTGTCCCAGCGCCACTTTGTCCCTCACAAATCCCACTTGACCAGACCCGGGATCGAACTCGGGCCGCCGCGGTGGGAAGCCAGGGACTAATCGCTTGAGCTATGTCGCGGCCAACACGGAGAACTAAGTGTATGTTGCTGTCTCGTCACCAAATTGCAGGGCAAAATCGTGACGTAAAGGCAGCCAACAGATGTTTCGAAAACGTGGCACAGTTCAGATATTTGGGAACGTCGATAACAAATCAAAACCTGATTCAGAAGGAAATTAAGAAGAGATTGAACTCGGCTAATGCTTGCTACCATGCAGTCCAGAACCTTTTGTCTTCTCGTCTGCTGTCCAAAAACGTAAAAATTAGAATATACAAAACTATAATTTTGCCTGTGGTTCTGTATGGGTGTGAAACTTGGTCTTTGACACAAAGGGAAGAAGCTAGACTGAGGGTATTTGAGAACAGGGTGTTGAGGAGAATATTTTAACCGAAGAGAGAAAGTGATGGGAGGTTGAAGAAAACTACATAATGAGGTGCTTCATAACTTGTACTCCTCGCCAAGTATAATAGAATGATCAAGTCAAGGAAGATGAGATGTGCAGGGCATGTAGCACGAATGGGGAGAAGAGAAATGCATATGGGATATTGGTGGGAAAGCCAGATGGAAAGAGGCCACTGGGAAGACGAAGACGTAGACGGATGGATAATATTAAAATGGATCTTAGATAGGCATGATGGGGTGGTGTGGACTGGTTTGATCTGGCTCAGGATAGTGGCTAGTGGAAGGTTACGATGAACACGGTAGTGAATCGTCGGGTTCGAAAAAATGTGGGGACATTCTTGAGTAGCTGCACAAATGGCGCCTTCTCAAGGAGGGCCCAGCTCCGTGAGTGAGTGATATAGAGGCTATATGTTCTTCCGAAACGTCGAGCTTTCTCCGGACTACACGAAATTACAACCCAGAGAAACGTACTCTTTCATAGTTGCTTCGATGAGAACCTGAAATTCAAAATGTGTGCTACAAACAGAGCTTATATATTCAAATTAAGGAAATTCAACATCTTCGTTAAGAACGTTACGCAGTGCGCTGTGCCTTCACTGAGTTGGAATACCGGTTTATATAACCTGTTATTTCTACAAACGCCTAAGAATATTGGAACTACTAGACGATTGAGAAATTTCCTAGGTTTTTATGTCGTTTCTCAACTGCGGTCGATAACAAATCTGTATAGAGGAGACGTAAGCAGCATGTAACTTGTATTCGACCCATGACAGTGCCGTCAGAAGACACGTGTTGCTAAATGAATGAGAAGAATTCAGTTTGGGTGAGTGTTGCGGTGATATTACATACACCCAGCACTAAACATCAGTTTTTCATCGGATGGAACAGCAGGGATGTCTGAAATTTTCCTCACTAGATGTCTTGAAAGCAACATGTAAGAAAAGTTTGAAAAAAAAATTGGTAAGCAGAGCTCTTTTGTTCCTCCGAAACGTACGTTTAATTTCAACGGACTGCACGGCCTTATGTCCCAGGAGATGGAACTCTTCATAACCACCTGTGTCAGAAGGTTGTATCTTACAACATGTAACAAGGCTAGAACACTGATTGCTTTGATCAGAAAATTCTTCTGTGAAATTATTCTATGGAGCTCTTTCTGCGTTAAATGTGTATGTGAGTGTAATAATATACTCATACAGGGTGTCCCAGGAGGAAATGTCAGTATTCTGGGAGGTCATAGTATCGGTCATTCTAAGAAAAAATAGTCTATATATGCATGTGTCCTATTCCGAATGGTTTCCGAGAAAGAACTGTTTCACTGTACAGCTCCAAAATTGTTGATAAGAAAGATATATTACGTACTGTTTCTAATACCGGTATTTATTGTTCAAGTGACAAAGTAGGTACTGTTTACTTAGCATTATATTTTCTGAAATTCCACCGTCAACGTCAGTGCACTTTGCAACTCGTGTGAGGACATGCCGTGTTGCTCATGTGTACAGTACAGTGAAATAGCTCTGTCTCGGAAACAATTCGGAATAGGTCACATGTACATATACACTTTTTTATTTAGAATGGCCAATCCTATGACCTCCCAGAATATTGACCTTTCCTCCTGGGACACACACACACACACTGATTTTCAATTAAATTTCTGTATAAGTATTTGAAAATAACGGCGAAAAGAATGGGGCCCCATTTTGTTTTCAATTATGGTAGTAGTCTCTGTATTATTCTTTTCTGATAGCATTGCCACATTGTTAATGTGTTGCAGCAGTTAATCACTCCATTTCGACTTAAATCCGTTCGGTAGGCAGAATAAAATGTGAACATGGGTTACATAAGGATTACTTCAGGGGCCACAATATAGAAGTCTGTAAGCCGGTTGGCGTAGCGGTAACTCTCAGACTTGTTTTCCTGAGGCGTTCATTTCGAATCTCGGTTAGGATATAAGTTATTCTGAACGGATTTTTCATGGTTTTTCCCAGAGTCTTCGTGCAGTTGTCTCGATTGGGCCACGCTCCCGTGCTTGCAGACACTTCCCAATTCATTATTCACTAATCCAACCAGTCTCTGCTATATCGTGTGCATTAATAACGGCGTCTTGAAGTACGGCACTGACACTTAATGCTGTAATATTTTATTTTCATATGAAAGGTAAAGCTATCCCTGTAACAGACCGTGGAGGCCCATAGGCTTGTGAGACGTCGAGGCTTCCACATTTTATAGACAGTCGGCTCACAGATGGCGGTGAGGTTGTCAACCGTACACGCCGGCTGCGCTTTACTCCCAGGAAGATTCCTGGTACTCACGTCTGTTAGAGGCCGAGTCGACCCCAGGGCCACAGTGCAGCTAGAAGGATTAGGTAAATTGAAAAATCCAATGATTTCATCGATAGGAGCCTGGATAACGTAGCCGGTATAGCGATTGGCTACGGGCTGGACTACCGAGTGGTCGGAATTCGAGTCCCGGTATGGTAAAAAATTTTCTCCACGTCGCCTAGACCGGCTCTGGGGCCCACCCAACCTGCTATTCAATAGGTACCGGGGGCGTTTTCCCCGGAGGTAAAGCGGCCGTGGCGTGGCGCTGACTGCTCACCTCCAACTAGTGCCGAGGTAAAGAATATGTGGATCTTCCCACCATTCCTCCATACTTTGATATCACCACTGATCGAAGTATGGCGTGTCCTCCCCAGGCAACAGGTTTTGGAGAGCGGCGCTTGGCTGGTTGCAGAGTAAGGACTGTTGATTCATGGAGTTACTTTCTTACAACTTGACTGTACTCTCTTGCTTCATATGCGCAGTGTTCTGTCACACAGGATCTGTTGGTTTCTGCAGTAAAGTTGTAAACCTCGCGCCCAACCCCCATCCCGGAGGACCAGGAGCTGCCTTTCGTTTGACTCCTGTTTTCGACCTGTGTTGCATTGGTGACCCTACCAGGAGATTGCGGACCCGCTAACAGCGGGGATATACCAATTTATTTATTACGAATTCGTAATCAGTGCACATCCTTAACACACTCACTCCATGGAGCCTCGTGACAAGCTGTTAGTCGCTCAGCTACTCAAGAATTTCCCAGCATTTTATGGAACCCCAAGGTTCATTACCGCGTTCACAGGAGCCCTCCATCGGTCGCTGCCCCGAGCCAGATCTGACAAGTCATTACCACCCCATCCAATTTCTGTAATATCCATCTTCATATTATTCTCCTGCCTACGTTTAGGTCTTCGTAGTACACATTCTTCTCCTCTGTCATGCGTGCTACATGCCGTGCCCATCTCAACCTCCTTGACTTGATCATTCTGTTTGGCGAAGAGTGCAAGTTGTGAAGTTCCTCAGTATTCATTTTTCCCCAGCCGCATGTCACCTCACTTCCCCACCGTACTGAACTCATTTAATGCTGTTTACATTTCTGAGTTGCTTGCGTTGGTACAGTGATGAAATAGCCAGTGTCTGCCTG